CAAATGGACCGAACAGTGGAACAACCGGTTGCTATGACGTGCACTGACCACCAGGGGGCAGACACTCGATTCAGGAGCTGCCCCCTGGTGGTCAGTGCGCTCCCACTGAGGGAGTTCCGCTCAGCCAGAAGCACTACTGGCAAGCCCAGCAGCTGTGGCGGGAGTCTCTTCTGCCTCCGTGGCAGCGCTAAGGATGTCTGACTGCCAGCTTCAGTCCACAGGCCAATGCTCTATCCACTGAGTCAAACTGGCCAGGGCATATGTTGCTTTTTTATTTTTTTAAATATATTTTTATTTATTTCAGACAGGAAGGGGAGAGGAAGAGAGAGATAGAAACATCACTGATGAGACAGAATCATTGATCAGCTGCCTCCTACACACCCCTTACTGGGGTTGGAGCCCACAACCTGGGCATGTGCCTGTGACCAGAATCAAACCTGGGACTTTTCAATCCACAGGCTGATGCTCTATCCACTGAGCCAAACCAGCTAGGGCATGTGTTGCTTTTTTAATGGTGGACCTATGATGCTTCCCAATGATTAATCATTGATGCTTTCTAAAAATGATCTCAATCAAAAGGAGGAAATGTAAAAAATTAGTAATGTGGTCCGGCCGGTGTTGCTCAGTGGTTGAGATCAACCCATGAACCAGGGGGTCACCATTCCATTCCCCATTAGGGTGCATGCCAGGGTTGTGGGCTTGATCCCCAGTAGGGGGCATGCAGAAGGCAGCTGATCAATTATTCTCTCTCATCATTGATGTTTCTATCCCTCTCTCCCTCACTTCCTCTCTCTGAAATAAATAAAAACATATTTTAAAATGGCAATATGGAGTTAATATTGTGGAAAGAGCAATCTAAAATGGAGCTGGGGGCCTCTAGGAAGCTGAACTAAACCCTTCCCCCTCCAGGTGAAACTGAACTTTTGAACTGGGCTAAAGCACAAATGGTTACATCCTGACACAGTTCCTGGGACTGACTCTGCATCACTGAACTTTATATTAAAAGAAGTAAAAATTTTCACCTAGCAATAGACATAAGCAATCAATTATGTAGCACAGTATAAATCCAGCCATAGTGTAAAGTAGTGGCCAATTGTATGGGTCCCCTATTCTGATTCTTTACTGGTTTTCTAATTCATAAGTTGCGTTACCTCCCCATGCTTCAATTTTCTCAACCATAACACGGGGAAAATAGTGCCTACCTCATGAAGTCATTGTGAGAATTAAATTAATATGTACTAAGGTGTTTGATAAATGCTGAGCACTTCATAAATTTTAGCTATTATTAAAGGGGAGACCTATATAAAAAATTACAATACAATGTAATACTTCATGATTAATATTTTTACAAATGTATAGAAAATAACTGAGGGGGCACAAACTTTACTTGGGGTAATCAGAGAAGTCTTCAGAGATGACAAGTGAAAACAAAAAAAGTCCAAGAGGTGGACAAACAAAGCGCATAGGAGCGGTGGCAACACCTGTGTTTTGTAAAAATTTATTTTAATCTATCTGTCACCATACATAGTTATTACGATATGATTGACTATATTCCCTTTCCTGTACATTACATCCCCGTGACTCATTTTATAACTGGCATTTCTACCGCTTAATCCCCTTCCCCTTTCCCATCCAACCTCCCAGCTCATCCCATCTGGCAACTACCAGTTTGTTCTTTGTATCTATGAGTTTGTTTCTGTTTTGTTGTTGTTGTTGGTTCATTTGTTCACAAATATATGTCTTTTTCTCTTGGACTTCTTTCACTTAGCATAATACACTTCAGGTCTATTCTTGTTGCAAATGAATGGTTCTTTTCTTTTTTGTGTGTAATTGACTACTATTGTTTAATGGTCACCATATGACAGGCACCATGCTAGCTATTGAGCAAATATCATAGCTTTTACTGAGGAAAAAATACTCGAGGTTAAATTACTGGCCACTGGGCACACAGGAATGGAAAGATATTGGGATCTTTATTTTTAAAAGTAAGTTGATCTAGTGGTGGCCTGTGTGGCTCCGTTGGTTGGGCATCCTCTGGTGCAGGGCACATAACCAGGTAGCAGGCCCGATCCTGGAGGCAGCCGATCAATGTTGCAATCTCTCCCTCTCTCTCTAAAAATTGATTATATTAAAAGTAAGTGGGTCTGTCACTGGAAGGACTCAGCAGCGAGATGTCAAATAAATGTGAGAAAGGATGGCCAGACCACTGAGCTGAAGATGGATTCGCAGGCAGGGATCAGATTATAAAGGGTTTTGCCTGTCATATGATTAGACTGGACTTGAATCTGAGTGCAAAGCCCAGAGAGTCAAGTGTTTGGGTCACTGAAAGAGGTACACGGAGGCCGAAAGTGGTAAAAAATTATGAATTTATTAGATGATCTGGAAAACAGATGGCTTGAGCCCCCAAATGGCCCAAGCACCCAGGGACGAGGAGTCGGAGGTTTTAAAGGACTCCGCAGGCTTTTTCAGCTGGGAATTCTCTGGGTGGTCGGGATCCAGGGCAAGCCCCGAGGGGAAAATTACTAATCTTAGCAAATGGAATGCGGTCCAAGCGAAAGGGAATGCCGCCTGGGAGAGGATCTAAAGGTCAGTTTCCCAGGGGGAGAGGGGTATCCATTCCATTATTGATCAGACCTAACATAAAGGGTTTTAAGCAGGTCCTGCGCAGTGAGCTGAAACCCATGTCATCAAAAGCCTGGCGGCGGCCCTGGCTGGTTTGGCTCAATGGATAGAGCGTCGGCCTGCAGACTGAAGGGTCCCAGGTTCGGTTCCGGCCAGGGGCACATGCCTGGGTTGTGGGCTCAATCCCCAGTAGGGGGTGTGCAGGAGTTAGCCCATCCATGATTCTCGCTCATCCTTGATGTTTCTATCTCTCTCTCCCTCTCCCTTCTTCTCTGAAATTAATAAAGAAATATATTAAAAAAAAAAAAAAAAAGCCTGGCGAGGGTCAGCTAGGTGGGTTACTCCCCATTTACTGGGCGCCTGTGTGCTGACCGCAAGGGGGCGCCCTCCCTCGGCCCACATCGCCGTCTCAAGCCCGCGGCCCGGCTCCACTCAACCTCCTTCGGAACCAAGGGCTGGCGGCGAGCTCCCGGGTGGAAACCGCGCCGCCCGGGCCCTCCGGCCCGGCACAGCCGGCCCCAGCCCACCCGCCAGCCGCCTAATTCTCCCTCCAGCGGCCGCCCCAGCCTTCTTCCGGCGCCCGCGCCGCACGTCCAGTCACGTGAGGGCCCGGTCACGTGAGGCCAGGGCACGTGAGACCGGTCACGTGTGGAGGACGCCGGGCTGGGGGCTCG